CCTTGTGCAGCTCCCTCCTGCTCTTCTGAGAAGAGTTTGGCTTTGAACATGAAGGAAGTTTCCTTGCTCCTGCCTTGCTGTGATTTCTCATCTCGCTCCCTGTTAGGCAGTGCTTGTGCATCACTGTCCACATTCCTTCATCTGTCAGCTCCTCGGAAGCACAAAGTGCACGGAGGAGATGAGAAGGGAGCCGCTTATGAATTATGAAGAGCCTTTCAGGCTGATGCTCTTTCACGGGGCTGCTGCTCCATTTTAATTGAGTAACTCAAATGAAGAAGAAAAAGAATCCTGTTTGTGTTTGATCACCTTTCAGCGGTAACACTCGTGTTTGTTGCTTTCCTTTTCAAGTAACACGGGCGTTTGCCACCCTTGCAGGTGAAATAATGGAGAAGGAAGGAGCTGAGCAGGAGCTGGGATGCAGCTGCTCCCCTTTGTGCTTGCTGGGAGAGCTGGAGCTGCTCGGCTGCACCCAGGGATGTGCACCAAAGCGTGCAAACACAGCCTGCATCTCTCCAAGCACTGCAGAAATTCCTGCTCCCTCTGTTTCCCTCCCAACGCGTGGCCCATAACAGCCCCCAATCTGTGGTTTATTTGGGGATTTGTAGCCCGTGTGAATTGAAGCATCAGTTCCCAGGCTCGTGATCCCAGCAGCTGTGCTGTGGGCTGCAGCCCCGCATCCGTGCAGAGCTGGCAGGGTGAGCTGGTGCTGGGCTGCTTGCTGGGGCTGCACACAGCTCGCAGGGCAGCTCAGCCCCTGGCACCAGAAGCGTTTTGGTGCTGCTCCTTTGTGATGTCATCTGTCACAGACAGAGGACTGAGCTGAGGCACAGCTGTGTGATCCCCAGCATCTGCTTTCCTCCTCTGAGCCTCCAGGCTGCTGTCAGTAGGGTACGTTGTTTTCAGTCCTGCTTTTACTCACCTGTCATTGCAGGGAATCCTCGCACCGAGGCGTGAAGAGTTTGGAGGCTTCATTTGGGACCTCAGCCTTCTCAGGGGGAGAGCTTGCAGGAGTTTGGCTGCAGCAGCAGCAGCAGAATGAGGGCTCTGCATGCTGTTGTGCTGGGTGGTGACACGACCTGATGGCCCTGCAGGGACTTCGGCACCAGATCCTGCAGCCTTGGGTTCTGGGTTTGGCTCTTAGGGGCACCAAGCAAGAAAATGTGCTGCTGGATGAGAGAAGTTCCTTTCAGACACCTGTGCCCTATAAACAGGGCTTCGGTGTGCTCTAACCTGTGAGCTTAAATATTTCATAGAATGGATGGCAGAATGGTTGGGTTGGAAGGGACCTTAAAGCCCACCCAGTTCCAACCCCCTGCCGTGGGCTGGGTGCCCCCCAGCAGCTCAGGGCCCATCCATGACTGTGAGCATCTCCAGGGATGGAGCATCCCAGCAGTGCCAGAGCTTCGCCATCCTCTGTGTGATGAAAATTACTCTTTTTCCTCTTTAAATATCTTCTGGGTTTTGAAAGCTGTCAGTCGCTCCCTGACCGCAGCTCAGTGATGCCTGCAGCTCTAAGGGCTCGCTTCATCTCTCTTCAGACTCCTCCTGGTGGTCCTGCAGACTTTGGGCTCTTTGGGGTGGCAGTGTCTCCTGCAGCTGTTTTGTCATCTTGCTGCTGACACTTTGCACAGCAGAAACCTGCAGGGAGCGTGCTGGCTCAGGCTGAGCCACGAAATGCCATTGAGATGCATTGAGAGTCGCTCCTGGTTCCCTGAGCTGTGCTGTGTGTCACTCCATCCCGAGCACTCAGTGTGGCACTGGGACAGCACTGCTCGACTCCCAGTGCTGCTGTGTTTCCTGCATCACTGGGAAGCAGCTCCAAGCCTGGGCTGCTCCTCTTAGCACCGATGCTCATAGCAGAGAAGGTGCCTTCAGTGCAGGGATGGCCGTGGTTAAACTCATCCCTTGGGTTTTGGCCGAGGGACCCGACTGGGCTGCACATCTGGGTAAATGGTGCTGGTGGGCTGAGCTCAGATGTCTGGCAGTAAGAGCTGTGCCCCCACGGGAAGCGTGGGGCCGGAGGGGCTGTTAACACCGCGCTGGGCTGCTGCTTCTTAGATAGGGTCCCTGTTTGGTGGGGATGGTTGTGCTGGCAGGGATAAGGCTCTTAGGAGGGCTCTGTGCTTTATCTCACGCAGGGCGTGCTGCTGGTTTATCTCTGTGGCTCTCCTTGGTGGAGTTACTCATTCCCAAACCGTTGCTTCGAGGCACGGCTGTTCCTACAGGTTTTTGGAACATCTTTTCCCCTTCTTGCTGTTTTCCCCCAGGAGGGATTTCCTCCTCCTCCACTTGAGGAGCAGAAGGAGCATCATCTCAGACGCTGTTTGTAATTCACAGTTGCTCAGATGTGCCATTTTCAGACCATCTTTCTTTAAAATAAGCAGTTTTAATAAGCTTTAACTTTCATTGCATCGTGAATCCTTTGTAGAGCAAAAAACCCACAGCAGAGCTGGGACTCCCCCCCCACAATAAGAAATGCTTTGTGGCTGAGCCCTTCAGTTTTGCTTTGTGGTTCCAGCAGGACGGATCTGTCCCAGAATTGTGTGCATCACCCCCAGGTTCCGAGTTGCTGTCAGGAGTGCTTTTAGCTGCCGCGGATGAGAAATAAAGAGGGGGAGAATGGACTCCAGCATCCATCAGAGAGGCGTAAAATGTCTTTATGGTGGTGAATATGGCTGCATGATGATATGGGCTGTGTGTTTCAAACCCAGCTGGGAGAGCTTTGCAGCTAAGAGATAATGGCGCTGCTGGCTCGCTTGGCCTCCCCCCCCGGACTGCTTGGTGTCATTTATTTACCTCTCTGTTGCGTTGAAGTTTCATCTGCCTTGCAATGGTTCTCAATCTCAGCCCTTGCAGGGAGAGCCTCTTTCCATCCTGCTGCCCTGCAGGCACGGCACGAGGCCTTCCAGCCCCATGGGAGACACTGCTGCTCCCCAAAGTCCTGCTGTCCAAATGGACGCATGTCTGCGCCCTGCAGCTCTCGGGGGATGTCTGGGTGCTTTATCCCTTGGTTCTTTGTGCCTTTAGGCGATGCCTTTTTCCTTCTGCCACAACAGGCAGCTCTTCTCTCATCTCTGAAACATTAATGGCTGCATCCTCCCGAGCCCATCCTCGCTCCTGCAGCTCCTGCCATGCGTGGAGCTCAGTGGGAGCGGGGCTGCCTGTGCCCAGCTGTGAGCAGAACAGCATTAAAGGCCTTTTTGCAGAGCTACAGCGAGACCAGCCAGTTGTCTAACAAACACCCCAACGTTTCCTGGTGTCAAAAAACCAGCAGCACCAGCAGTGAGCAGAGCGAGAGCTGTTGCTGGGGGCGTGCAGCTCCGTGGCCTTTGCTGAATCACTGCTGGCTGCTGCCGTGCCAGGGCTGCACCGATGCTAAATGCTGAGCTGGGAGGAGCAGTGGAACATCTTGAGCTGAGCTGAACGCTGTGCCCAGAACGGGCAGCTGAGCCCCAGGCTGGGAATGTGAGCTGGATGTGGAGCCAGCAGTCCTCTCTGGATGGTGGCCCAGGAAATTCTTGTCCAGAGGCAGGAAAGCACAAAATGCAACTTTCCAGGGAAACTGGGAGAGGCTCTGATTGCTCTTATCCAAAAACTGGACTGGGGGAGGCAGGAGAGGAGGCAACGTAAGGAAGAAGTGAGCATCATTTAAGGCAGCACTCAGATGAGTGGATGCTCTGCCTCTGGGTCAGCAGCTTGGAATAAAGGTTTGTGGGTGTGTGGTGAGCTGGGCTGGGCTGGGGAGGCTTTTAGGGACCAGCAGAAGGGAAAGGGGTCAGGATGGCTTCTGCTGTCTGCATTTTCCTGCTGACAGACAGGGCAGCACGTGGGGAAACTGCTGTGTATCCCAGGTCTGCCTTTGGGATAGAAAGCTCGCTCCTGTACCTTCTCCTGCACACCAGGCAGCACATTCACACTCACATATTTCATGCTCAACTTGCTTTTATGCTCCATACACTAAACTAACATCACATTTCTGTATTTCAGTGCTAACCACCCTTGTAAACAGCACCACAGTGGAGCCAAATGAGACCAGGATATCATCCATGTGATAGTTGGAGCCCTGGGAGGAGGGCAGGCAGATGCCCATAGGGATGTCCGTTTTGGTGGGCAGCCTCCCACCCCCCCAAGGTTTTGACAGAAAGTTGTCACCTCCTTCCTTCCTACTTCATACCTTTGCTTTTGTGAGTGACTTCCTTTGGTGGCAAGTTGTCACGCTTCCTTGGTGCAGTTCTGTCAGAGCTTTGTGGCTGTCAAAGGCAGAAGTGAAATGGTCCAGTCATCTTCCTAAGGCTTAAAAAAGCTGGGCAGGAGATCTGGTTACTGGCATTTGAGCTTCTCTTGCTTAGTTCCATATATCCCGTTAATTTATTGCCAGCAAACAAAACCACGTGAGTTTGCTTCCTTGCTTGCAGTGACCTGAGCCTCACTGCTGCATCCATTTGCTCCTGACGGTCATGGCAAGCACACAATTACACTAATAGCCCGTTATTCATCACTGCCAGGGGCTGTAATTATATCAGCTATTAGGAAGTCAACTAAAATCCACGTCTGTCCAATCAGCATGGAGAATAAGGAGAGGCACGGCGCCTGCAGGCTGTGTTTGCTGGTGGGTTCACTTCCTTTAGCACTTGGGAAAGCCCTCTTTCCAGAGGTCCTGGTTTGGTGTGTGAGCATTTTGCACTGCCCTCTGCTCATGGGTGCTCCTGGAGGATCTGGGGGCTCCTGGATGCTCCGGGGAGTGTTTCAGCACAGCTGCAAAACCCAATAGGCAGTGTGCATCCTGAGCTTCCCTGTACGCAGCGGTGGGATTTGGGGGCTCATCAGGAAAAGGAGACAAAGCAGCTCCCTTCTTGCTGTGGCTGAAGAGGCAGCCTGCAGCTCTCAGCTGGTTGCTTACCAGAGGATGCTCCCGGGACGTGGCTGAGGTGGTTGCATGGAACACACCAACAGGGCTCCAGGATTTGCCTGATATTGATTGCTTTTGTTTCCTCCTTCAGGTAACTTGGCTGCAAGATGGCAGAACCACACCAGGATGTCACCGTGGTGGAGGACCAGGAGAGGCAGCACGTCCCCTCAGGTGAGCACCTCCAGGAGGAGACAGGGCAGGGGACAAGAGTGACCCAGGCAGGGGGAGCAGAGCCCTGGGGACAGCCAGGAGGAGATGCTGTGTGTGTGTGTGTGTATGGAAGGTTCCTGCATAGCAGCTTGCTGCAGGCAGTAAGCATTGGGTGGCCCACAGGGTGCTCTGATGCTCCTGAATGAAGGAGGATGCTGCTGTGTGATATGGTTGCCTAGCAGAGCACAGATCCCATGCTGTCTCGAGCAGTTCTGATCTTACTGCTGCAGCTTGGCACGTCCATGCTTTTGTGTTCACTCCTCAGTTTGCTATTAAAACACAGCACTGCTTTTGTTTTGAGACACGGCTCGAGGATGCTGCTTGCTGCCTGCTTTTCTCACCTGCACAAGGCTGAGCAGAGAGTTCTGGGAGCCATGCAAGGGTCTTTTATCCCACATTTCAGACCTGCATTTCTCCAGAGGCCTTTCCTTTCTCATCCCACCACGCTGCACAGTTGAGCTTGGAAACCCACACAGCCCCAGCACACTTGGTGGGACTCACTCTTGGCTATGATTCATATAAACACCATCTTGATTTTATTTTCTTGAAGGGCTTTGGACACAGCTTCCACCAAACCAAACCAGTGGGTTATCTCAGCCGAGGAGAGAATCCATGGCATCCATTCATCGTGGGTCGTGTGATGCATTTCAGGCTGACAGCTTCTCTCAGCTCGTAGCCTCATCTTTGCACATCACAGGGATTTCACTTTTATTCGTTTGAAGCTTCTTTTCCGAGTCATTTTCTCCAGCTTTCGTTGTATTATTTCATTTAGTCAGCCTCTTTGCAAAGAAGAGACTTGTGCTTTTTGCTGTACTCTTCCAAAAGATGACTTTGGCCCCAGCCTGGCGTTGTGCCTTATGCACTGCACAAAGACTTGCTGGTTTGCAATGAATAAATACATCATGGGAGCGCTCAGCAGCAGCTCTGGGAGAGAGTCTGATGGCTCTAGAAATGGCAGAGGGGACAGCAGTGACTCAGACGTCCATCTTCCCTGCTTTCTGTTGCTGAGATCTCCTTTCCTGCTTCTGCCATTCTCTGCTGTGTGGGTCCCTGGGTTTTTCTTTTGGCTCCTGCTTGTTCTTTTTGGCGATGGCACCGATGCTTTTGGTTGGCACTTTCACGCTTTGCTTGCTTATCAGTTCAGGTGTTTTCTGCTCTCCAGTGGACCTGGGCCATTAGAGGTTTGTAACTCATCGCCAAGGACCTGTTCTAAGTATTTGTTTTCCAGGCTATCCCCTTCAGATTCCAGTCGATGACGGATCGGATGAGCCTGTTTCTGAAACCTCTGACGCTAAGAGCACCCCAACTACAGAAGGTGGGAGCTCTTTGTCTTACTGCTTTGAAACCGTGATGGTTGGGGTCGTGCTAAACCTTGCCGAGAGCCTCGTGCCACGTTCTGCTGGGGTTTCTCAGGAGCGTTGGTGCTCTTGGATGAGAGCTCTTCGTTAGGCTCATCACAAGTGAGGTTTTCCCTCAGCAGAATGAGAGGATTGGCCTTAAAGGTGGAGAGTGGGTCGGAAGGCCGGAGATGGAGATGCAAAGTGGTGCTTGGAGCTCAGCAAGTCTCTTGCAGGTTGTTTCCTTCTCACGCAGTGACCTCAGGGTCCAATTAGCTCAGTGCAGCCAGGAGCAGTCCCACATCGCCCGCAGGTTTGCATCACTGTGCACCATCAGAATACTGCCTGCCCATCCTGCTCTGTGTTCCCTGTCAGAGTCAGGTGGAGCTCTTTTTGTGTTCCCTCTGTATTGATGTGTTCATTCACACAGCACGATTTGTGCTGGAATGGTGAGATGGATTGAGTCTGTATGTACAGCTTTGAGTTGATGCAGAAGTCCTGTGGGTCAGGTCAGGGCATTTCTGTGCTGCTTCACTGGAAGAAATCTAGTTTGGAAGTAATCTAGAGACTTGCCTGTTGTTTTAATTAACTGCACTGTTTCTCTGGCTGCTTTAATCCCAAGTAGCTGCCTCTTGGCGGCTTCGGGTAAAGGCATTGGCTTGCAAAATGTATCTAAAATTAAAAAGGATGGAGATATTGAGCAGTTTTCCAGCCCTGCCCTGCTGGAGATGGGGGCTGTGATCTCATGCAGAGCAGCCACATGAGAGATGTGTGCTTGCTGTGGGGGCAGCTCACTGTGTCCCCAAGGACCAGCTTTGCTGCGTCCTGCTCGCTTGTCTCCCTCCACAAGCGCTGGCTCAAGGGAGGGAGATGGGTGCTGCTCTGAGCAAAACGAGCCTTGGGAGCATCCTGACCTCCCCAGGCTTTTGCCACTTGCTGGCTGTGTGAAAGCTGCATTGTTTTTCAGATGCCACAGCACCTTTAGTAGAGGAAGGAGACCAAGAGGATCAGCACGGGGAGATCCCAGAAGGAACCACAGGTGAGGGAGACCGAGGTGCAGCTTCATCTCTTGATACAGATAGAGCAGAGAGCTGGACTGGTTGGTGCTGAGCAGTAAAGCTGCAGAACCTTTCGCAGGCGTGCTTCGCTCCTCGTGCTTCCTTCCTTCTTCTGATGCAATTCCTTGCTTACTGCTGTCCTCTTGCCTTCCCCAGCCTGGGGGACACTCGCAGCCTTTTCTTCTCTCTTCCTCAGCTCCTCATCTGACAGTCTTTCTCTCCGTGGTGGCTTTGCCTCACGTCTCCAGGCAAAGTGCTTTCCTGCAGAGCCTCCCCATCTCTGCAGCACCTCGCTGCTCCTCTCCTGGGCATTCTCTCAGCCCACACAGTTGTCTTTGGAGAGGCAGGTGGAATCCAGACCACTGCAGCACTTCTCGGGCTGCCAGCACATTTTGGAGATCGTGCAGAGGAAGCCAAGTGGCTCCTTCAGGACCTCTGCACCTGGGCCTGCTTTTGCAGGGAGGAATGGGGGTCTTTCAGAGTTAGAAGGGATTGATGTGCAGCAGAGCCGTGCAGAGCAGGGCAGGAGCTCCTCGGACAGTCAGGTGTGGCTGTGAACAGTGAGCACGTGGTCCCTGTGTGGTGGCTGCTGGGTTATCCTGGAAACATCAGGCAGGTTTTGGGAAAGGCAGTGTGATAGAATGGGCTTCTGCCAGCACCCAAGCGCTAACACAAGCCCACAGCTCTGCAAGCACTGGGTTTGTTACACACCCAGGTTAGCTGGCAGCAAATAGCCCAGGAAGAGCTCATGACAGTCAGCTGGAGAGAAGACACGGATGAGGTAGAGCTCAGGTAAGAGACATGGATACGAATGCTGCCAGCTTGGCAGGAGTAGAAGAGGAAACGTAAATCCCCAAATTTCCGTGCTCAGTGCTCAGGTTTCTGCATGTCTGTCTGAAGGAGCTTGTGCTCACTTGCCAGCTGATGAAACACGTTGGTACAGCAGCTGTCGGATAAATCTGATGGGACCCAGCATTAACACAGCTTGATTGCCTTTCTGATACTGCCCTGCTCGTAACGCAGCCGTGATGGGCAGAATCAGCAAGGAGGTAAAGGCGTTCTCCAGAAGCGTGCTTAAACTTAATTCTCGTGTTCTGATGATGTTTTTTCCATTCTCCTTCTGAACTGGGACCAGCTGAAGAGGCGGGCATAGGAGCCACCCCCAGCCTGGAGGACCACGCTGCAGGAGATGCTGCTCAAGGTTGGTCAGACTGCTGTCGCTGGGGTCTGGTTGCTGCTCCTGGGGGGCTTGGGAGTTTTCTTCTGTAATGCAACTGCTTTGCACCCCGTGGGCAGTTGTACAGCTCTCCCCATTGCTGGCAGGCGGGTCACACACACTTTGAATGTCCCAACGCACCCATTTCAGGCACCTCTTCATTCATCAGCTCTCTCTCAGGTGGCTGAAGCACCGATGCTTGTTTGTCCAGTGGCAAAACAGAGCATCCTCCAGGCTAGAAAAGGTCATAAACAGAGCCAGGATGGTGCAGTTAGCCAGGAGGCACTGCTGAGCATTGCATAGGGTCAGCCTGGGGCCCTGCACGTCCCACGTGAATTATCTGACTCTTAACTACTGTGTCTCATTTAGGGTGAGCTCTTTTTGCATCCCAGTCTCCAGGGGCATCTGCCAATGCTAGGCCAGGTGGGCAGTCACTTCAACACAGCTGTCCTGCTCACGTCTGTATGTGACAGCACTGGTTTTGTGTGCTAGCTAGAAGGGCAGTTAAAGCCCATTTGGTAAGGAGGTTTTCTGTTCAGGTTCCTCAGGCTGCTCCTGCAGTCTCTCCTCTTCTGACTGCTGTTTGCAGTCATCCCTGCCTTTGCAGGAAGCACGCAGCTCTTTGCTTTCTCAGCTCGGAGTGAATTGAGGTCTTTGCTTTTCACACTCAGCACAGCTACACACACTCTGCTCCCTGCAATTAAAGTAAAGCATTTGATGCCTGGCTGGTGGTTCTCAGGCCAGCAGCTCTTCTGCATTCAAAATAGTGATGCTACTTCAAAGGAAATCAAGGTTGTTAGCAGGATGGGGTGAGTTATCCCTGCCGTCTGTCTGTTTCAGTCTGGTGGTAGCTGCTATTTCTCACCAGATTTTCAGTGAGAGCTTTCTGTCCTGTCCCGGGATCTTTCAGCTGTCAGCTCTGGGGACGTGCAGCTCAATGCAGCTCTGAGAGAACCAATAGATGGCATTTCTGGCTTCTGACATAAATGGTTCCATCTCCAAAACGGACTTTTAGCAGTGCTGCTGCTCTGTAACGATGATGAGCTCTGATGACTTGATGTGATTATTGATGCATGCCCACAGTTGTGGGTATCTCATAACTACCCACCTTCATTTCTTGTGCTGTGGGATTTGCAAAAATGATCTCTGTGGTGAAGACAGAGCATGTTAGAATGCCTTTGGAGTCTCAGCATCTTTCAGTTCAGATTTGCCCTGCTGGTGTTCTGCAGCTCTCCCTGTGCAGCACTCAGACCTGCGGGCAGCCCTGCAGGATGGATATGCACGTCCTTATGGGGGCAGAGGGCTTTGAGCAGTTCCCCAGTGTTGAGGGTGAGCTCTCCATTGCTCAGCACATCCCTGCTTCAGTTGGAAGAGTTTTGAGCAGAAGAGCTTCAGTTCAACCAGAATATCTGGCTTAATGCAGCACTGTGGCGTGAAATTGCCAAGCTCTGTGTCATGCTTGAGATCAGTAATGGAAAATAATTGTCTCCTTTACCCTAAAAAAACCCAAGATCTGTGTTTCTGTGACCGTATGTTTTGGGTTTTAAATGTCACTCTTTCTCCTCTGCCCAAACGATGGCAGCAGTGCTGGAACACTAATTAGGCTGAGTGGGCACACAGTCCAGAGCTGCTGCGTAGTTACAGCCACAGTTTACTGACAGTCCTTCCCACCAGGGCTCTGCTGTTCAGGACACGGCAATAAGGGAGCAGACAGAGGAGTGCTGTTCCCTGGGCTCATTAGAACCAGGAATGATCTGGAGGTGGTTGGGAAGCTGGATGTGTTGCTGATTTCTGAATACCTCTAAAGCCAGCCCAGCAGGCATGGCACACGGGGACACTTCAGCCGCCTCTGCTATGGGGTCCAGGCAGTGCTCTGTCTTCCCACCCCCCCCGCTGCCCCCGACCCCCTTCCCAGTTCCCATGGAGGTCAGAGTTCCTTTAAAAAGCCCCTCTGTGTCTGCTGAATGGGGCAGCTCTTATTAATAGTACAGATCCCAAGTTTCTCTTCTACATGATGTGACTGACCACCTATCTGTGCTTGTGCTCACTGTTTGCCCGCGCTTCACACTCTGCGTCTTCAGCCCCAGGGGAGCCCAGCTCTCCAAAGCTGCAGCCTGGCCTTAAGGAGCACGTGGGAGGTGTGATGAAAAGGGGCAGCCAGCCCATGGAGCAGCTGGCTGCTGTTCCTCAGGAGCCTCTTCTGCAACAAGAAACAAAGCCTGCAGCCACAGCTCCCACCAGGATCGAGGTCACTATCCCGATACCCCTGGATATGTACCAAGATGTCCGACCAGCTGAGGACAGCAGTGAGCTGTGGGATCGTGGGGGCAGAGAAGGCATTGGTGTGGATTCAGCAATGGGAGAAGAGCTGGGTGATGTGTGCGCCGTGGGGCTGGCAGGAGCAGGTGGCACTGATGCCTCCCGTACTGCAGCTGGGCCAGCTCCGTTATATGCTGGAGCCCCACTAAAAGAAGATGCCAGCAGATGGGAAAGAGATGAGGATGAAGCTTCTCGGCAGGGTTTGCTTGGCCTGGTGGGACAGCGTGTTCCTCCAGGACCCGAAGCAACCAAAGAAGCTCTTGAAGAAGAAAGCAAGTCCAGAGATGTCCTGAGAGACACAGAGAGAGAGGCGCTCCTTGTTGAACGTGAAGCACGGAAAGCAGAAGACCAAGAGGAGAGACAGCAGTTGCAGGGGGAAGAGTCATACGCAGATGTCACCTCGTCTGAGCCTTCTGAGACCCAAACAGAAGGGGCAGGAGGGGATGCTGGGCCCTTAAAGGAAGCAGCCAAACCCCCCGTTGGGTTAAAGGATGGCAGGGAAGACAGAGATGCTGCCGTGGAAGAGGCAGAGCTGGGTGCAGAAGGGTGCAGGACGCCCAAGAAGAAGCCTGGTGCTGCAGATAAAGCAGTCAGTCGAGTTCCTCTCCTGAAAGGTGTGTGCACCGTTTGCCTGCCTGGAGCTCACACTGCTGGTGCATTGCTCACCACGAGGCTGCTTGAAGCAGCACTTCAGCTTGCTGCCTCCTCCTGAATTGCAGTGCTTGGGACATGGCCTGGACCTTTGCTGTGAACTGATCTACAAAGCTCTGCTGCTTCCCCCTCTCCCTCCTTTAATCTTGGATGTCTTGGCATCATTGCCAGACCCCCATGCTTTGGTTTTGCATCCCTTGCATGGTGCTGGCGTGTTCCCAATCATGCTTTCCTTTTTTTTTTTTTTCAGTTAAAATTCCTTTGGATCTTTGGGCTCCTTTACTCACACCTGGCAGCTTCCCAGAGAAGACAAATTCTGGCTGGGTGTTGTGGCATGTTGGATTGGGGCTAACCCAGCACGCTGCAGCTTGTCCCAGCGGGGCACTGCCACCTGGTTTGCATGTGTCCACTATCCAGTCCAATAACTCCTTGTATCAGCTTTCCTAGAGAGGAGGGAGGAGGGAAAAACGTAAGGGAGGTGGCAGTTCAGACCGAGGGAAAAGTCCCACGTGGGTCCTTTGCAGAGCACAGCTGAGGCTCTTACACGGCATCGTGCTTTGATCCCAGCTCTGGATCTGCAGGTGCTCTGATGCAATGGCTGTGTTTTGTGTTCTGCAGGGTGCTCTGTGTGTGGAGGCTCTTGGGCACAGCGCTGTGCGTGTGTCTGGGCTGGAAATCCTCCTCTGTGAGCACCTGGGCAGTCAGAGCCCAGGGTGCTGTTTGTGCAGCAGGTCTCAGTTCTGGCTGTGAAGGGTTGAGCTCTTCCTTCAAAGCATGAGCATCCCTGCTGGCAGAGCAGCTCTTAGACCTCTTCCTTCTCCAAGAAGGAGCTGCAGTTTCCAGGGACCCAGGAACATCTCAGAGGAATCTGCTCAGTGCAGAAGTGCAGGCTGCGCAGCAAATGGTGCTGCAGGACGCACAGCAAAACCTGCTGGTCTCTTGCCATGTTGTCCCACTTTGTGCTGTCAGGGCTGGCCTGGGGAGGAGCTCTGCCTTTCAGCCCACTGCCACGTCCCCAAACCTGGCATGGCTGCTTCCATTAACCTGGAAATCCTGCTCACCACTCCCCTCCTCTCTGGTTTGCAGCAGAGAGAAACGCGCTCTTTGCTGCATGGGGTCAATGAGGAAATTGCTGATGTAGCTTTTCCCCTCGGAGCCAAAGCTCATCACACATTTCTTATTGTTTACTACCTGAGAAGGCATCAGAAAGCTTTGCACACGTGCTGCAGGGCATCAGCATGGCTTGCTGTTGCTGTCATCAGAGTCTGAAACCAATCGTGGGCTGGGGCTGCCTTGCCCAGGGTCACCCAGCTTCTGACTCAACAGAAGGAATTTCTTTAATTAATTCATTAACGAGCTTTTTCCTTCAAAGACTGAGACACTTTGTAGTCTCTGCAGCAGCTCTGGGGCTGTTGGGGTCGGGTCAGAGGCATCGGTGCTGCATTCATGGCATCACACATGGGCTGACCATTGGGTTTCCAAACACTGGGGTGAAGATCAGAAGCTTCTCCTCCCAGATTAGGAAGGAATTAGCTGAGGGCTCAAAGCAGGGCCTTTGTAATGAGTGCCTGACAGTACCAACGTTTCTTCCTCTCAGCTTCTCATCTCATTAGTACTGCAGCCTGAAATATTGCGAGGGCCACCGTGTGCTTGATGTGAATCAAACAGGACAGTGGCTCAGCGTTAAGAGCCTGCAGAGCCTGAGCCAGACGGAGGGCGCACTGCTGGGATGCGGTGTCAGGAGGGATGGGAAGTAAACTGCAAAGTTAACACACTGGAGAAGAGATTTCAGACAGACCTTGGGCTCCCTGGTGCCGGTCGGTTGGGGCATCCTTTGGTTTCAGTGTGTATATACCTAACTGTTAGAACCACACAGGTTTTATTAAACAGACTCACATTGGGCTCAGAGAGTGCAGTTCTATCCTGAACTGAACCATTGCTGCTGGAACTGAGTGCAAATGTGTGCAAATGGGCTCACACAGACCTGGCGTGTGTCCGATGCTCCAGCAGTGACTGATGTTGCTTGTGCACAGGATCATCTGTTAACCCAGGAGGAATGTGCTTAGATGTGTTTTGCCAAGAAATGGGGGGTTTTCTCGTGTTTTTAAGAGCAGCATCTGATCTCAGCTAGAGGGAAGGCGTAGCAGCAGCTCAGCATGCATGTTACTGTAGCTCAGGCACTGTCAGCTGTGCATTTCACCCATCCCTCAAAGTGTAACTGTGTGTTTCCATTTGTCAGCTCGTATTGATAGCAAAGACAAGGAAGGGGCTGAAACTGATGAAAAGAAACCGAAGGTAAGCAAAGGAGGAGAACCAGAGGTGATCCCCACCTGCCCACGTGGGCTGTGCTCATTCCTAACTCCTGCTTTAGGAGTCCTTGCCATTACCCTCCATTCTTCAGCCTTGTTTTTTGTTTTCCTCTCCCCGTGCCCTGGTTTGGATGGTGCAATCAAATGTAGAATGCAGATGGTGGCTTTGTATGGGTGGATCTATGTGATATTCTCAGTCAGAAAGCAGAAGAGTGGCTTTGGTGGGGCAAACTGGTGCAGAAGCAAACTCCAGGCTGTCGTTGGGTGTCTCACAGCTCTGCTGGTGGAGCCTTAGGATGCCAGCAGTGCCCCAGGGCCCACAGCCCTCACCCAACTCTGTGCTGCAGAGGGCAGAACCTCTCCACTGCCTTTTTCAAGTCTGCTTCCACATTGCACCCTCTAATCCTCTGTAATGTTGGTTATCCCTTTTGTTCCCCTCCCATACTGATTTTGGTTTTGTTGTTCCGATTTTATTTTCTTTCCATGTGTAAGAAATCCTCACCTTCCACTGCCAAACCCCCAAGCGATAGAGCCTCCATCCCTCCCCACCGACACACCTCCTCTAGCACAGCCCCTCCGAAATCTCCCTCCAGCCCTGCATCCACCTCTAAACGAGTCACACCCCGACCTGCCAGTACAGGAACGCATGAAACAAAGGCCAAGGTAAGGAAATGGGATGTGAGAGAGGCAAAGCTGCCTTGGAGAACAGCATAAGGCAGCGCTGGCAGCGCTTGCTGGGCTGAAGCACCACGTGTCACTCAGAGAGGGGGGTCACAGAATGATAGCATGGCCTGGGTTGCAAAGGACCACAATGATCATTCAGTTCCAACCCCTATGCTGTGTGCAGGTCACCAACCAGCAGCCCAGGCTGCCCAGAGCCACATCCAGCCTGGCCTTGAACGCCTGCAGGGATGGGGCATCCACAGTGCTGTGGGATGTGCTTCTCTGCACGGCAGTTTTTGGAGCAGCTGTGTCAGTCTCATGGCCCCTTGCTCTGCTTTAGAGCATCTCACGTGCTGCAGGGCTTACCTGGTCTCTCTGAAACGTTTCTGAGTCCCTTTGTGTTCTTTCATACCCTTTGCTCTGCAGCTTTAAGCTGCATTTTATGGCTGTGTAGAACACGGCAGCTGCATTGGTTGTGTGCAGAGCTGCATCTGCCAGGTGGATGTGAAAATCACACACTTCTGTGGCTCGTTCTGCTGGGGGGGTTTCCCTCGGTGGCGCTCAGTCACACAGATACAGCTGTGCTGAGGGAGAGAGCAGAGGCTGCAGCTCTGGATAAGAGGATGCAGTGTGGCTGTGATGGTTCCCTGCAGCCCTGGGACCCATCAGCTCTTAAGATCCCCGCTGCACGTTTTCAGCTTTGTCACACAGAGCAGCATCAGAGCACAGCTTGAAAGCAGATGTGTTGGTTTATAGACCTGGGAGGGCTTTTCTGCAGGATCCCCAGGCAGTCGATGGCACGCTGCTGTTTACATACCCTTGCAGATGCTGTGTGGGTGCATACGGGAGGGAGGACAAAGGAAATGTCTGTGTTTGGGGTCTGGCTCTGCTTCGTGGATGGAGCCTCTGTTGTGCAATCAAAGAGCGGCTTTATTTCCCATTGGGACAGCAAAACAAGAGGGGGAAAAAAAAAAAGAAAAGGGAAAGAAATGGAACCTTTTGCCTTTGTGTCCCTGCAGGGCCAGGAGATGAGGGGTGGCACCAAGCCGGCCACGCCGCGCTCTGCAGCCGGGCAGGCACAGAGGAACGCCAGCAACGCCACCCGCATCCCAGCCAAAACCCCCACGGCCCCCAAGACCCCTCCTGGCTCTGGTAAGTGTGGGGCTGTGCCTCCGTGCAGGGCTGTGGGGCAGGGAGCTTTGCACCGTCAGGGTGGTGCTGCTGCTTTATGTGCTCTGTTGGTAACACAGCAGGGAGGAGGTGGCGCTCGCTTCGTCCCGCTGGGATTTCCTCCAATTTGGAAGATTTAACCAGCTTCATTTTTTTTTGTTTTAATCCATCTCTCCCTTTTCTCTTGACGATGTTTCCCAAAGACCTGGGGGTGCGAGGATCAATTCTTCAATTGCAGGAATTGAGATTATAGCCCGTAATTCCCAGGAGCAAAGCCCAGGAAGCGCCCAGCGTTGGGGATTTCCATTTCAGCGGTGCATTTTCTGAATATGTGCATTTTTTCATACTTATCAGAGCTGCGTTAAATCCTTCCATCAATGAAGTTTCTGTCCTTATTAAGCACCTCTCTCATTCATTAAACAGGCAGAAAGGAGCAGAAAAAGCCACCCCCCGCAGCAGCGAAGTCTGAGAAAGGTGATGTTTAAGGATCTTCTTTTATTTGTTAAGGTGGGGACGGTTCTGAGCTGCTCAGTGATCTGAGCTTTATTTAATTATGCAAAACAACGCGGTGAAAACGCTTCCAAACCCCAAAGAGGAGAGCGGGTTCCTCTCAGTGCCTTTTGTTTGTAGTTTTTCATGCGTGCTGATGTCGGGCTGGGGCACCTTAGCAGTCATCCAGACAATAAAGAACTCCTTTCTTTGGAGCTGCTGGGAGGCTGCTTTCAACCTCAGCTTTGGCTCCAGCACCCGATGGGTGTCTGTCCCATCCTGGCGGGAGCTGACGGGGGGCTGTGGGAGCTGCAGGCCACCCCCAGCAGGCAGGCAGGTCTGCGTGCCTTGCGCTCGCCCTGCGCTCACCTCGCTGCGTCTGCCTGCCTTCTCCAGGTGAGCAGCCCAAGTCTGGAGACAGAAGCGGTTACAGCAGTCCCGGCTCCCCCGGGACTCCAGGCAGCCGTTCCCGCACTCCTTCTCTGCCCACCCCACCAGCCAGGGAGCCCAAGAAGGTGGCTGTGGTTCGCACGCCTCCCAAATCGCCCGCGTCTGCCAAGAGCCGCGTGCAGCCCTCGGCGGCTCCGATGCCCGACCTGAAAAACGTCAAATCCAAAATCGGCTCCACCGAAAACCTGAAGCACCAACCTGGAGGTGGCAAGGTAAAGCTGGGCTCTGCTCTGTGCGGGGATGGGGGGTGCCGAGGGGCTGAGCCCGACCTGGAGCAGCAGCACCCAGCTGGGGCTGCAGGCACGGCTCCGGGCAGCTGGGCTTCGGCTGATGGGCAGCTTGATGTCCAGTGTTGGAGGTTTTTCGGGCTGGTTGGCTTTCAGTTGTCCTGAAATTGCCTGGCTTAGTGCAGCTGAACCACGGGGAGGGCTGCTCGTGGCCGTGGGGTGGCCTGGCCTGCAGTGGCTGCTGGGGGTGAAGCTGCCTTGTGGTGTCCTGTTAGGGAGAGCTTTAGAGGGAGAGTTGGGACCTGCAGCCCTAAGGAGTCCCAGGATCAGGGCTGTGTTTCTGAATGCTGCTGTGTGATCTGGGACAGTCACTTCTGTGAGAGGATGGCGGCCTCCTGCAGGGACCCCAGGCAACCCATGTGGAGGGAATTGCAGCCTCGTGGCAGGGCAGAGAGCTTTGGGCGTGCTGGGCTGTTCTCAAAACACAACCAGTGCAAGGACTGGGATCCTGCTGGGGTCCTCCTGCTGCCACCAGCTCTGAGGTGACCCCAGTCCTGCTGGGACTGAGCTGGATCTGCTGGTGTTGCAAGTAGATTCAGGTTTGGAACTGATGAGAGAAGCAGTGCAGAAGCTGAGCAGGTTGGGGTTTCGGGATCCACTTTGACTGGTGGGGTTTTGCATTGCATTCTGCAGCCAGCTGCGGTTGCTGCGGTGGAGCAGCGTGGCACAGCCACATCTGGTGGCAGTGTCAGTTTGAGGACCACCAGTGCTTTTCTGAGAGGGCAGCAAAGAGAGCTGTGTGCTTTGAGTGCTTGGGAAATAGGGCGTCGTGGTGGATTTTGCAAGCTCTGCAGAGGAGAATTCTGCCAAAAGAGCCCGAGCTGGGTGAAGAGTGCTCCAGAGCAGCAGAATGCAGCCACACAGCTGCAGCAGTGCAGTGCTCTGTGCCTCTGTGCTGTGTGGATGCGTCCTGTGGCTTTTATGGGATGCCCCTCACTGCACGGCAGGAGGCCTGAGGGCAGCTGGTGGCTGTCACACAGATATTGAGTGACAGAGCTGCACGTGTGGCAGTGAGCACAGCTGGGCTCACTGTGTGTGTGCTTGCCTGCCCAGCAGAGCATCGCTGCCTCGTCTGCAGCCATCGTGCAACAGAGCCGTGAGAAACCTCCAGGCGTGGTGCATGCTGTTGTGTGCAAGCTGCTGGCTCTGAGCGTGTGACTTCGGTGTGGGGAAGGCTTTGGGGTGGCTTCTTTTCACCACCCTCAGCTGCACTTGTGCTTTTCCTTTTCTCTCTGCACGTCTGGTTTGTGCTGCACTGCAAAGGGCCGCTCCTCGCCAGCAGCTCTGCGCTGTCTGAGCGCCGCTCTGGTTGTTGGTTCGCTGCCTTCGCTAAACGCAGACAGGCCAAACCGTGCCCTGATTTGCAGAATTAATTGCTGTGAACCTGAAAAGCAGTGCTGGAGGGCTGTGGCTCCTGGTGCTGGAGAGCCGTGGTGCAGCAAGCTCTGCTGGCAGCAGCGGGCAGCACTTGCTGAAATGGGAAGGTTGGGTGCCCAGGGTGCCACCTCACCACGGTGGGGATCTGGTCATGCAGAGGCTGCGGGTGCGGTGCTCTCCTGCAGGATGCTGTGCCTCCTTCCCTCTGGGGAGCGTTGTGCTTCTGGTGGCCTTTCTTCAGAGGGAGCTGAGGCACTGTGTGCCCCCGCTGGTGTTTGCCTTTGGTTCAGGTCTTCATTCAATCCGGTCCACGCAGGGGAGGGAGCAGGCACTGCGTTCAGCTGTGGGATAGTGCATGGGGTCGTTCAGCAGAGCTGCCCTTGCAGCGGGTTCTTGCAGACGGGCTTTGGGGTGGGGAGTGAAGTTAGCATGGCACGTGGCTCCAGGATTACAGCATCTCTCCCTCTGGAGGTGGTGTGAGCAGTGCAGGCCGGCAGCCGCCCCAGGGCTCGGTTGGGGCTGTGCTTCCATCCCACCTGCACACGGGTTACGAAAACTGCAGTCCTGGCACTGCATCCCGGGCACAACGGCTTCTTCCCTCTGCATCTGCAGAAGGAGTTGGAGCCCAACCCCACGCTGAGCTCATCATGCTGGGCACACTGCCGCTCTGCTGCAGCCCGTGGCTTCACTTGGAGCTGCTGGACCCCGAGGCCGGGCAGAGCTGTGTGTGCTGGCACAGGGCTGAGCAGGGGGGGTCTCTCGGCCCCATCCTTCCTCCCAGCCCACCCCGGTGGTGCAGCTCTGCAGGTGCTGTCTCAGAGCAGCAGTGCTTTCCAGCATGTCTGCTGTCCCCCCTTCTGTTCAGTGGAAGCAGACGGGCAGCTGGCTTCCTTGCTGGTGTTTCTGGCATGGAAACCAGGGCTGCCTTGCTAGGCAGATCTCATCCAGCTCAATCTAGAGCTCACCCACCTCCATCTTCAGCTTCCAACCCTGGAGCAGCAAGCCAGAGGTCCTCCTTTGCTCTTGGCCCTGGCAGGCAGGCTCCTGGCGTTGGTGATATTTCGCATGGTCAAGCTGCAGATGATCATGTTGTTTCTCACACTCTTTTCTGGCTACCAAAGGTGCAGATTATTAATAAGAAGCTGGACTTTAGCAGCGTTCAATCCAAGTGTGGCTCAAAGGATAATATCAAACACATCCCAGGAGGAGGCAGTGTGAGTACCTTCACACTTTCAATGCACTGTAATGGTTCTTAATGATAAGTGGCATGTTGTGTACGCTGAACCACCAATGCTGTCTGCAGCTCCCGTGCCGTCAGATAGCAATTGGTGACATGCAATGACTCTTTTCTGGCTACCAAAGGTGCAGATTGTTAATCAGAAGTTGGACTTTAGCAGCGTTCAATCCAGGTGTGGCTCAAAGGATAATATCAAACACATCCCGGGAGGAGGCAGTGTGAGTACCTTCACACTTTGAGCGCGCTGTGGTCCCCCCCCCGTAGTGGCATGTTGTATAACACCAAGCACCAATGCTATTTGCAGCAGCGCTGCTGTCAGATAGCAATTGGTGACGTGCTGTCGTTTAACCCATTAACCCAGAAGACGTGGGTAGAGGAGCCCTAACGAGTCCTTTTCCGTGCCTGACGTGGGCAGAGCTAACTGAGCCGCGTGCAAACCGTGTCTGTAACAAAACATCTCTTAACCTGAGGCTTTGTGCTGCCTGCGAGGCTCGGGCCCCTGCACACAGTGCAGTCAGTGATAGATGTAAAAGCAAATGCAGCCCTCGTTGCTTACTGTACTGCTGAGGTGCACGTGGCCCTGCACAGCACGTAGAAGCGAGGTTCCTGGCCTTTCCCATCAGGCAAGTATGATCCATGTGAATATCAAGCTTCTCCTCGTGTCCACTGTGTGTGTTGGTGCCCGTGGGGGCTGAGCCTGAAGTGATACTGAGCAAACGGATTGCAACGTGGGCATTTCCAGCCATTCCCTGACCTGTAACCACGCTCAGCTTCCAGGTGCTGTGCCAGAAAGCTGGAGGGGCTCTGCAGGGTTGGTGGATTTTGCACCGTCTGCTCTGGAGGCAGAGTTTGGGTCTGGGAATGGTGGTGGGCAAAGGGAGGAGCATCACTGAGACCCCAAACAGTGCAGCCCTGGGGCTGTGCCCGCTCTGTGCCCATCTGTGGAAGCCTCCTGGTGCCCTCAGATGTTCCCCATGGGTTTCCTCTGTGCTGTTTTTGATCTCTGGATGCCCTCCCTGAGAAACCGAGCATCGCAGAGGGCTCGGCACATAAAGGATGTAACTGGGTTTGCCACCTTGGTCTTAAATCTGATGTAATTCCACGTTTATTCGCACACCAGAGGAGCTGCTTTGCAGAGGTCAGGCCTCTGTGAGACACGTTCCCTGCTGCTTTTGCCATGTCTTAAACCCAAGCCCTGCCCTGGCTGCGCTGCCTGCTGCGCTGTTAGGCCAGGAGCTGATGTGTGCCACGCATCGTCGTGCTGGCAGCAGAGCTCAGCACACACTGAGCAGGCACTGAAAGCTGCAGCAGGTGAAGAATGCCCTGCATTTTAAGGTAGAGATCATCATCCTGTGCCTTGGGGCTCCTCTGACTGGGGAGCAACGAGAAGCCACTGGGGTGCAATGCAGCTGTGCCTTAATCCTCTGCAGCACAGTCAGCAGTGACTGCCTGCATAGCCACGCTGCTCCAAGGCAAAGACAGTGACCTGGGGGCAGATGTAATAACCTGGGGGCAGATACAGAACCTGGGGGCAGATACAGAACCTGGGGTCAGATAGAGTAACCTGGGGGCAGATACAGTGACTTGGGGGCAGATACAGAACCTGGGCTCAGTGCCTTTCTCATGGCAGTGCTCTGACACAGCGATGCTTTAGGCAGAAGCTGACCTACGCATTGCTGATGCTGAGATGGGATCCCCAGGTCTCTGGCACTGATTTCCCAGGCAAACAACTCTGTGCCTGTTTGCCTTCCTTGTTGCTCCCCAGCAGGATAACAAATTGTTCAGTGAGTCTTGTCTGTAAAAACACTGAGCTGGAAGGAGAGCAGGAAGGACTCAGCGATGGGTCTCTTGCTGTGGAAATGGGAGGTCTCTCACAGCCGGGTCCTGCAGCGGGGCACACTGGGGTTAGAAGGGCACAGCTCTGTCCTCCCACCTCCTGTTTGTGCCTTCTGAAGAGCCCGGCTCTCCTCCTGCTCAGTGCATTCCGTGTGACCTCTCCCCATCCCTGTCTTCACATCTGTCCCTGCTGTGTGCTCTCAGCCCCTGCGGTTGCTGTTCTCCCCGTCCCTCTGTCCCCACTCTCCGTGCGATGTCCTGTCGGTGTGTCTGACCATCAGAGGTGGGGCTGACCCACGTGTTTGACATCCAGCCTTACTGCAGGTCCAGGCTCAGCCCTCGAGCCCTGCAGCGCCTGCTGGCACCGGGCCTTGCTGCCTTGCTGCGCTCCCACACCTTTCCCTGGCTGCGGAGCGGAGCTGGGGGGCGATGCTGTGTGCACAGCCCCGCTGCCACCTGTGGCTCTGAGGGTCAGGATGGGCTGCCGGGCACGGGGCCACGCGAGGTTTGGTGCATGCAGGGCATTGCAGGCAGCACGGGGCGCTGCTCCCGGCGCTGCAGGGAGGCGATGAAGCTCCAGCTGTGAGTGCTGATGGAGGGGCTGCTCAGCAGGCACACAGAGAGCAGCACCCGCTGCCCTGCAGCTCCCAGGGCTGCCCGGTTCCTGGGGGTGCGAGCCCAATCGCAGGGCGCTGGGGATGCAGCGACGTTCTGTCCCCTCTGTCCCCTCTGTCCCGGTGTCGCTGCTGTGTGTTTGCCCTGCTTTGCCCTCCCCGAGGCTCTCAGCCCTCCCTGTTCTCCACTGCCCGCATCCCCCCTGTGTTTGTGTGCATCTGGGGCTGCGCGTCCGGGGTGCAGCAACGCCAGGATGTGCCCTCGTGCTTCAGTGTGCTCCAACTCCCGCTTAGGTTCCATGCTATGAACTCCCACCGGATCTTTAGGCTTTATTTCTCTTTATTTTTTGACCCTCTGTAGCTCCATGACAGCCTTGTTGTTGTTGTTGTTTTTCAGAAATGCGTATTTTTTTGGTCACTCTTGTATCCAAGTTCTGTGCACATTGATCATTTCTGTTCTTTCAGTTTTTGTGGACATAAGCTTTATGTTTTACACCAGAAAAGGTATTTATTTTTTACGTTTTTTTTTCTCTCTGGTATATCTCCTCCTTTCGGATGATGTGTATGCAAATCTTAATTAATTACCACTCCACTTTCTCACTTAAAGCACTTTAAATTTGCCTCTCCTTCCCCCCTCTGCGGAGAGGCGGTCTCATGCATGCTGATGTGATAAGAGAGGCTCCTGCACACGGGCATTAATGACCTCCCATCTCTCATGACCGTTTCATTTATCTCATTAATCCTCCTGGGGTGTGAGCTGCTCCTTTCCCTCCAATCCAGATCAGGTGCTGCCGTGTCGTGCTCCCCCCCCCCCCCCTTTCTCTCACCTCCTTCTCCTCTCTCCCACATGGGCAGGTTCAAATTGTTTACAAGCCGGTGGACCTGAGCCACGTCACATCCAAATGCGGTTCCCTGGGCAACATCCATCACAAACCAGGTACCAACATCTGCACGGCTGCGATGGGGGGATTTTGGGGTCGGGGGGGGGGGGGGGTGGGGAGGCTCGTGGCAGCACATTGCTGCAGGGGAGCTGTTTGCTTGGCTCTGACCCCTGCGCTGCTCTCCTCTCGCAGGTGGTGGCCAAGTGGAGGTGAAATCTGAGAAACTGGACTTCAAAGATAAGGTGCAATCTAAAATCGGGTCCTTAGATAACATCAGCCACGTTCCTGGAGGAGGAAATAAAAAGGTAAAGGAGGGCAGGGCTGCTGTCCTGTGTGCGTGTGAGCCTTGGAGGGGGGGGGGGGGCAAGCAAAGAGCAACTGGAGTGGGCTCAGGGAAGGTGCTGCTCACCGGGCTCAGCCTCAGCCTCCTCTCCAGCACCCCTCTGCTCGCCAGGCAGCGCTGTGCCCCACTGCAGGCATTGCTGCCCACATCCTGGGGGGGGGGGGGATGCTTTGTACCCCCGTCCTCCTGAGCTCCCCCCTGTGTGGAGCTGAGGGCTGCGCAGACCAACCCTGGGCTGTCGGTTGGAGCTGTGAAGCTGCGCTCTGTGCATCTCCAGGCCGGCCTGGATGAGTGTGAATGTGGGTGATGCCCTCTGCTGTGGTTTCCTGCTTTTCCTGCTGTTCTGTGGAGAGGTTTGTGTCTCCAGCTTTCGCTGTACGGGATGCTGCTGTCAGCATCTGCTTTCATGCCAGGTGGTGCCAGTGGCGCAGCACAAAGCTGGCGCAAGGGCTGCTCTCCAGTGAAAGTGGAACACTGGGCTGAGCTTTAATTAGAAAGTGGAGCATTGGGCTGAGCTTTAATCAGCATCCATCGCTGCAGGATGCTGAGCTCTGTACCTCAGCCTCCCCAGCGAAGCTCAGTGGTGTGGGGAGGTGGAAATGGGGATCCAAGGCTGGGTGGCGCCGCGCTGCATCGCCCTGAGTGCCAGCAGGGCTCAGCACGGGGCTGGGGCTGCAGCCTGGGGACACAACACACAGGGTTGAATTCCCAAAGGGAAAGGTGCTTCTCCTCTTGCTGCTCTCTCCAAGCACTCTTTTCTCACTGGGAAGGGACAGCTCTGTTTCAGCTCTTCCCCTGCTCCGGATCGCTGCCTTCCTTACCCTTCTCTCACTGCTCCACGCATCAGACTGCCCTGTGCTTCTCGTCATTTTTATTCTCACAACGCTGGGTTTCCAGATCTTCTTTTTTCTCCCTTATTTTCTATTTCTTTTCCTTACTTTTTTTTTTTTTTTTTTTTTTTTTTAAATCTTTTTCCTGCTGGTTGACGTTTATCGGATCTCGTTGGTTTTTGTTTTGTGTTTTTTGTCTTTTTAATTGCTGATGCGTTTTTTGCACCCCGCCGCCTTGGGTTGGGTTTCTTCACCTGTAGAGAGAGAAAGGCAAGGAAGACAAGAGCCGGTGCCAGGCTGCTCGGACCCCGAGCCCAGACCCCGCTGGGCTCCAGGCCCTGGTGCTGGAGCCACCCACCCCCCCGGAGAGGCAGCCCCCAGCCCCACATTCAGCTGGGGAGGGCACCAGTAAGTAGCAAACCCAGTCCGCTTCCCCTCCCCAGCCCTGGAAGCTGGAGGGAAGGGCAGCTGCGTGCCGCACGGGCGTCCCACCTCCACGACCCCCAGCTGGGGTGCAGGAGCAGCCGTGGTGGTGCCTTGGGATGGAGCTGCAGCATCCCAGGCGTGCTGCCGTTCCCAGGGATGCAGGGGGCCGAGGCCGAGGCTGCGTGGAGCAGCGCAATGCCGCCTCTCGGCCACCTCCTCCCCGCACAGCCCGGCTGATGCCCGCAGGTAACACAGCCCCTATGGGATCCCCCCCCCCCCTCCCCAGCTGACGGGGCTCCGCTCTCGTTGCAGATCGAGACTCATAAGCTGACTTTCCGTGAGAACGCCAAAGCCAAGACCGACCACGGCGCCGAAATCGTCTACAAATCCCCCACCATCTCTGGAGACGCCTCTCCGCGCCGCCTCAGCAACGTCTCCTCCACCGGCAGCATCAACATGGTGGACTCCCCCCAGCTCGCCACGTTAGCCGACGAAGTGTCCGCCTCGCTGGCCAAGCAGGGCTTGTGATGGGGCACAGCATCACCGTGGGAGAGAGAGAGAGAGAAGATGAGGGGGGAAAAATACAAACAAAGCAAAAAAGAAAAGAAAAAAAACAAGAAACACGAATAATAATAATCTGGCCTTCTTCCTCTGTTCCTTTTACAGCTGCTTCCCCATCCCCTACTCGGTTAATGATTTAACCTGCTTTTACTGTTCATTCAGCTCTAGCTCCAGGACTTCACAATCAGTGACACTTTGAGGTACAGAACCTCCTCTCCCCCCCGTCCCACCCCCCCCCCCATCCCTGCAGGGCAGCAGGCAGAGCAGACCCCCGCTCTGCAGAGCCCCACTGCTCTGCCTGGGACCCCCCCCCGCACCCCCACCATCCATTTGCCTGCTGATTCAGAAGAAACCTTTTGTTTTCACCTCTGAGAGCCGAGATGTTCGAAGCAAACTAAGAACCGCCAGGCATCCCCGGCAGGGCAGCAGGGGGTTCCCCTCCGTGGCTGTGCCCAGCGGATGATTGATCAATTCGAGGCTTTTCCCCCTTTTCCCTCGGCAGCCCCTCGTGTCGTAGAGTAGATTTGTCTGTATATGCTTGGACCGTGCCAGGGTGGTTGTTTTCATAAACGAGCATGTGTTTAATGATGCTGTCAGTGAGTGGTTGGCGCTGCACCGCATGTCGGGGACGGCGCCCGGAGGTGGGCGCAGCGGTAACACCTGGGGGTTGCGATGGCTTTTTGTTGTTTTGTTTTGTTTTTCCTTCCTTTGCAAGGTCAGCTCAGAGCTCACAGAAGCGGCAGCTCCGCGGCTCTGCTGCGCTCGTGTGGTGGCAGCAGGAGGAGGAGGAGGAGGAGGAGGAGAGGAAGGTGCAATGGCGGTGGTGGTGGTGGCCATCCCAGTGCTGAGCGCGGTGCCCTCCTGGGCTGCAGCACCCCATAGCACCCCATAGCAGCCCATGGCACCCTGTGGCACCCCAGGGCACCCTGTGGCACCTCATAGTACCCTATGGTACCCCATGCACCCTGTGGCACCCCATGGCACCCTATGGTACCCCATGGCAGCCCATAGCACCCCATGGCACCCTATGGCACCCCAGGGCACCCTGTAGCACCTCATAGTACCCCATGGCACCCCATGGCACCCTATGGCACCCCATAGCACCCCATGGCACCCTATGCTACCCCATGGCAGCCCATAGCACCCCGTGGCACCTTATGGTACCCCATAGCACCCCATGGCACCCTATGGTACCCCATGGCACCCTATGGTACCCCATGGCAGCCCATAGCACCCCATGGCACCTTATGGTACCCCATAGCACCCCATGGCACCCTATGGTACCACATGGCAGCCCATGGCACTGTGTGCCTCCCCTGCCCCCAGCACCACGCAGAGCCCCTTTGTTCCTTCACTGCCGTTGTTCCCATGCCAATGGGGGTTTGGGGCAGTGCTGCACCCATCCCCTTCTCCCCTCCTTCCCCCACCCCGTGCCCACTCCTTCACCAACCAAAGAGGCCGAGGTGCTGCTGGAGCAGCTCCACACCGCCCTTTCCCCCCCCCCCCCCCCCCCCCAAGGACCGGTGGTGGGGGGGGGGGGGGGGGCGGGCATCCATAGGGCTGCACTGAGGGCTGTGAGCTCCCAGGAGGGGCACTGGGGTGCTGGGGATGCTCGGGCCGAGGTGCCAGATGGAGCCATCACCCCCCTTTCCTGGGTGCTGCTGGAGCCACATTGGGACCTGGGTTGGGAGGGGGGGCTGCGTGGTGTTGGGCTGAGGGCTGGGGGCTCCCATTCGTGGGGCGCAGCACAGAGGGGTGACAGCGGTGCTGGAACACGAGCAGCCAGAGCCTCCGCAGCCCCCACCGCCCTCAGCCTTCCCCCCTTTCCCTCCCCACATCTGATGGGGCCGATGAGGGTCCAAACCACAGCGGGAGCCTCAGGGTGGGGAGTTGGGGGGCTGGGGGGGGGGCGGAGGTCTGATCTCGGTGTACCATCCTAGCTTAGCTGCCTGTCTGTGCGTGTCCATGGTGTCCATGGTGTCCTCGTGTCCAACAACTGATTTCCACTGTTGCCGTAAAAGTGAATTTGGAAATAATAAAAACCAAAACCCCACGACTGAGCAAAGCCGCCTCTGCTGCCCTCTGCGCCGGCGCGCGCCGCCCGGCCCCCAACACAGACGCTCTCTTTGCAGAGGATATTTCTGTTTTAATTGATTTTTTCTTTTTTTCTTTTTTTTTTTCCGATTTTTTTTTAATTAATTTTTTTTTCCTTTTTTTTATAAGCACATCTCTGTGCTTCGCCAACAGAATCGAGACATGAACAAAGATCGGCTTCTCGGAAAGAAAAGCATTTTGTTTCTCTATAGAACAAGGACATGACAACAGCTCAAAGCAGGAAAAGAAAATATTTACAAAATACGACGTTTTGGGGGGGTTGTTTTTTTGTTTTTTTTTCTCTTTTTTTCCTTTTTTTTTCCTTTTTCCTGTGGTTTTTATAACGCTAAAAGGGGTCGTTCGGAATTTTCAACCTCATAAATAGAAAAGCATTTAA